CTTTTATATGAGACTTTCGGAGGAGCCCTAATAACCAACAGATAGGGCAAATCTTTTGCCAACAGAAGCAATTTTTTTCTTTTTTTTTCATCTGCTTTTTTAGATTTTTTCTAGATAATTTTCCAAAAGTCTTGTGTTTTGAATAAATCGCACAGCCTGTTATTACACCAACATTGCGTCACTGCGAAACCTACAGGATACTGAGGTTTCAGCATTCGATTATTATTATTGATACCATTACAAAGTAAATAAGCGCTTTTCGCTTCAAATTATGAAGATTTTGAAACATAGGATACGTCGGTGCGCACTCCTAAAATTGAGAAATACTGCGATTTTCCTAAAAAGTTTCGCCTGTCTCGGCAAAAAAAGAAAAGCCTTGAAAGGAGGAAAAAATTTGCATTGATCGGTGACTGAAGTGTTTAACATTTTACGTTCTACGAGGTTAAAATAGACTGAATGTAAAATTTGGTCGCTTCAAAAAATAAATCGTAGAAATTTTGAAGGACAAGCCGTTGGGCTACAAAAATTGCTTCTGTTGGCAAAAGGTTTGCCCTATCTGATGGTTATTAAGGCTTCTTTGGAAGTCTCTTACAAAAATTTTGAAAATTAGCGCAAGTTGGACATAGTAAAAATGAGTTGTTGCAGTTTTCAGCAAATATCTCGTCACTCTTGCAACGAAACACAATGGGAGTTAAGCAGCTGGAAAGAGGAAGAAATTCTGCATCGGATACATTTTGAAGTGTTTGTTTATCTTCATTCTAGCGTGCTTACCGATGGATTGAAAAAAACTGGCAAAACTTTTGCACCAATCTAATATATGCAGATAGCAGAGTAATTACAACTGATTCAACTGGCTGAGCTTCGGCAAAGGCGGGCTTCGTGACCTAATTAAGGCTAGGTTATGATCAAAGAGCATTCGCGCGCGAAAGACGCAGGTCGTAGCGGGCGCGAGCGGCCTGCCCTGACGGAGCTAAACCAGTTGAATCAAAGATATAAGCGAACCTCGACTCCAACGGCTAGCGCAAAGCTTGCACATTTGATTGTAGCGGTCGTCACTAAGTGTTACCAGTGAGTTAAGCCTTTCGGTGCACTAAGTCCACGTATCGATATGAATGCAGCTAACGATAAGTCACTACTGATAGATAAGACTTATTTTTGACATTTAGTTTCGAACTTCTGACAAAAATCCACGAGGCTTCGAGTACTTTTTTGGCGCAAACCTCAATCGCGCATATCAGTAGCGTGCATTTGACTTTGTAGTCATCCGCAATGCGCCTCTACTTGTCCCGTTCCAACGGTGTTTATGGAGTCCTTCAAAGTTTTGTTCACTGAATGCTCTTTCACCGTGCACCCACACTTCTACCCGTTTCTCCAAGACAGCAATCTGTCTTGGAGAATGGCAGCTGAGACAGCTGAGACATTCCAATTCGCATCTGTCTTTGCTCCACCTCTTATTTTGCCGTAGGGACAAGTTATACAATGTTCCATAATGCAGTCATTACCATAGAGTGTGTTTCGCACCAACTGCTTCTTCAAACTGCTATTTGGAATTTCAACAAGCATACATGTTTCTATGGTTCGGCTCTACATGGGCATTACCTGACTTGCCTACTAATTTTGTCTGAGATAAAGGGAATGCAAAGGGGGATCGTATCGCACGGCATTCGGATAAGTTTAGTGGAATGAGTACGTAAACTACGTTGGTGTTTTTGCATACATATCCATTGTTGAGCACGACTTGTGATGGAAGCTTTCGTAACTCAAGCCGCTATTCGTAACCCGTGCACACCGTCGAAGCAGTTCTCATCATATTTTAGATTAGTGCTCTTTTTATTTCCGCGGGGTCAGCTAATTTTGCTGGACTAAGATATTCTTGCAGCTTCCTTTACGGTACCATCTGACCTGGAAGACACCATCGGACAAGCTGATTTGGGTGTTAAAGACAGCGTCCAGGCAAAATCTCGCCTCTCAAGTTTTCGTCATTCTAGGGCTTTTCCTTGCCCTGATTACAGTTATAAAGTTCAAATTGTTCAAAACCCTGATAACCCATTTTCTGGGGACTCTTGTTTGAGGGGCGGACGAGTTTCAAACTGTTCACCTCTTCGAAAGCCAGGGGGGAGGAGCTGCAACTGCATGGACTACGTGAGCACACGTCTCCAGGGGGGGGGGGTTGTGATACGTATCACAAGCCCGTATCTCTTTTCAAAGGCTATGTCAAGGGATCGGACCAACGCAAATCAGATACTCATGAGCCCTGCTTTACAACTGTGTGCTAATTTGGGTGGGTGGACCTTGCCTGGACGCTGCCTTCAAGGTGAAGTTATGTGTTCCCGGAAGATATTTTGAGTGAGCTTTATGTACTGGGATTGCTGGTCTAGCAGCTGAATTAAATCATGCATTTTGCGTTAGACTGGTGTTATCACAGCAACCATCAATTTAGTGACATCACGTCAATGGCATACACGTGAGCGCTGGCTCCTCAATACATTTATAAAGCATACTACAAGGTCTGGCGCTAAGCGTTGGTTTATTGCAAATTCTCGTATCTAGAAGGATTATATCTCGTGGTTTATAAATAAGATCGTGACTCAACTCTCGACAAAAGATACCCGCGCACTTATTCAACAGGCAGCAAGTTCCCAGAGCTACAAGACAAAAACTTAACCTAGTGTCTTCAAGGAGTCCTTTGGTGTGATTTCCCTCTGCACCTATGTTCACAAAGATGACACAACGAGCTCATTCGATGTTAAATAAACAATTACGACCGACCAGGTGTACCTTTGGATTAAGTGAAATGCGTGGTGATCCTCATTCAGGCAGATTTATAGTGTTACACGTTGCATAGTGGTCGAGAGATAATTCTCCCAGATACGAGGACTTGCAATGAGCCAACGCCTAACGTCAGTCCTCGCGGTGTGCTTTATAAGTTAAGGAGCCTACTTGCGCATATGCCATTGACGTTTCGTCGTTACATCGAACACTGCTGTGTGATTGACATTAACTCAATCAGAGATGGATGAGTTATTTAAGTTGCTAAGTTGGCAGTCCCAACTCACTCGAGAAACTCCTCAAAAACAGATTGCTCCCTTACCTTAGCACCCAAATAGCTGTTCGATAGTCTTTCCCATGTTAAAGGTTTTGTAAAGTGTTTTGTAAAGTAAGCTGTACGAATACCTTGATCTAGGAAGATCAGCTTATCCCGCAAATTACGAATGAAAAGAGCAGTAATCCATAATGTTAGCTTGATTCACAAAAAATATTTTTAGGCGCATTAAAAACTACTGTAACCATCAAATCAGTGACTATAAAACAGATACTTTTGCGTGACTGTATATATCACAAAAAGATCACCTGGCCTGAAGATTGCCAACACTTTTTTCAGAAGTCTCTACTTTGAGAAAGCATAACTTATGTTTAAAGAAGATAAGAAGTAAGATAAAGCAGACTTTGCTCATCGTGTAGCCAAGGGTCTCTTGAGCAGTAATGTCAAGCTTGGATTTTAGGGGGAAAATTTGGGAGAAAATATCGCCAAAAGTCGAAAGTGCTCACTTTTTTCTGGCATCTATCATTTTTGAAACTATTTCATCTATCTCCGCTGGAAAGTGAGAAAACCCTAGCGCTTTTCTACCTTCAGATGAACTAGGTCTACCCTTGCTGGATAGTGCAAAAGACCTGCAATAGCCTTTTGCTTTCAAGTTTCATATGGCACGGAAGGGCCGCGACGATCATTGAAGTTCGCAATTAGATTTCTCGGCTCAAATCCATGGAACATTTTGCAAGCGGCCTCTTGTAGCACAAAGTTTCCTTATCCTTATGCATATTTTTTATAATCAATCCGCCTATACCTCATGGATTTAGGGCAAAAAGAGTGAATAGCAAAAATTTCGGGATTTAGTTTTCTTTTATCTGAAGGCTCAGAAATTTGGAATGAACGGAGATGTACGAAAGCGAAGGGCCACATAAGAAACTAAAACGCTCTTTCAGAAAGCTTAAAAAGTTTTCGAGGGAATTGATTATTATACATCAAATACCAGCTCCTGGAAGAAGAGGTGAGAATAACGTGCATTAATCATGAATCATCCTAATATGATGAAACCGCAGTGTGTAAAGGTTACGAAGAGCGGCTTGAGTCACAAAGGCTTGCATCACAAATCGCGTGTAACAACGATTATGGAATAACAAAAAATATCAACGTAGCTTACGTACGTTTTCCATTAAGCATATCCGGATGTGCGACAAAAATTCTTTTTCATTTCCTTTATTTCAGACCAAAATAGTAGGCAAATCAAGTAACCATTTGTAGAGGTAATGCTTGTTAGCATCCCGATAGAAGTTGGAAAAAGCAGTTGATGCGAAACAGATTCTATGATATTAACTGCATAATGGAGCATTGTATAATTTGTCCTTACGGCATAATAGCATATTGTACAAAACAGGTGTAGAGATAGCACATCTAGACTCACAGTTTCATGTGAATTTTGAGTACATGCGTCGTTTTTCATAAAGCTGAATCAAAGGTACATTTCTTTATAAGAAAGCAGTTTAATTTTGTTCGCCGAGTTTACTCGAAAAAACATTTCTGGCACGCGTTTCACCGTTATCTTGCGTGATTAAGAAACGGTCAGTTAAAGGCACCGTCCACCCAAATTCTCGACTTCCATGTTTTGGGGAACACTTCCATGTTCTGTTCAGAGCCTTAGTATGTCCCTTATTCCGAAGTGAAGACTAGAATCCGCAAAAAGTCCAACAATCCCTTTTCAAGAAAACGCGCAGGCCGGTTTTCCGAAATTATGAGTGGATGGGCGCGCAGGGATGAGCGGGCATTACTGAAAGCGACTTAGGTTCCACATGCCTCTTCGTTATTCCAAAGCATTTTCTTGCTTTCGTAGCGACATTTTGCGCCGCGATTTGGGCATGTCTAATAGAAGTCCTACTATCGTAAACTGTCAAAAGCTTGGAACCCTTAACTTAGGTGGACGGGCCTTTAACGCCACTTTGTAACGGCATTATTTTACGAAACATTGCTGCACAGACATTCATTTCACTTACGATTAGAACGGTAACTTTGGCAAACAATTATGAAATTCATCCACAGTTCCTGAAGTGTACTTGATATCAATATCCGAGCAAAGTGAGCATGTGAGTTTGGACAATTCACAGTCAAGTTTTGGCGATAAGCAGGTGACATCGATTTTCTTGCTATTCTGGAACCTTGAGGAACTTCCGCGACTGACCCAAGTGTGGTTCCTACTCTGAATCAATGGTCATTGGTATTTCTATATGAAAAAAAACGCTTAACGTTACTAAATTTTAATGCAAATTTATGACTTTTCTAACTTTGTGTTTAATACTGAAGATCTTCTTGTTTTGAAAGATTTAAGGACTTACAAATTATTTAAATGACTACAACTCAGATTCACATTATAAAAGGTATCACGAATCTTTTATTACTTTGTAGGAAACGGTGCGAAATTTCAGCACTACTGTGATTAGGTTGCTTGCAAAAATGTTTGAAAAATCTGACAACTGTTACGCGCACGTTGACTTCGTTGCTCCTTTCAAAGTCGTTAAGCTTTCGAGAGGTGTAATTACATTTTAAGAACACTGAAAAAAAAGCTGTTAGGTGGTATAACTATAGCTAGTATAACACAAAAGCAAACTCCGTTGCAGCGCAAAAATCTTTTTGCGTGTCAACGTTTTGGTAAGTAATTGTAAAAGTTTTTAGATTGCTTGGTATGCTTCAAAAAATGGCCCTTAATGATTAATATTCAAAGTCCACCGTATTCTACAGTAATGGTGAGCGGTTGATGACTCGCTCCACCCCTCAAATGCAAACTAAAGCCAGCTTTGCAACGTGGCATTTAATCAACCGCGAAAAATTCCCATACAAAAAGTTCAGTCAAGATGCTCGATACATATTCGGGACACCTTATATATTAGGTTGTCCAGAAAATAATGCAGGTTTCGTTCTTACTTCAAAGTGTCATAACTCCTTGTTATTGCATTATTCAAAATGAGTTAAGAACAACTGTGATCAGCAAGTTTCTACCTGTATCTATTTAACACATTGACGACCATGCAGATTTTTAGTTGTCTGCCTTCTGGGACCAAGGCCTTTCACGGACCAGTCGGCATTTTTCAACTATAATTACGCATGGTACCATCTACAGTACACCTACAGTAGATCTGAAAGGCTGAAAATAACGGTAGAGGTCTTTTCTAGACTTGGTGCAGAAGAAAGCTCGTGGAGTGTGTTTATCAAAGTATAATAGTTATTCTTAACAAAATTCAAGCCTTGACATACATGGTGTGTCAAGGCTTGAATTAGTCATTGCTTGACACACCATGTGTGTCAAGCGGCGTCAATGTGTTAAAGCATGTTCACTTATACCTGTACTTGAACAAGCAAATTACTGAAAACCAGAAAGTGAAAAAGTTTTCTTTGACAGGGTCATCTTTGGCAAACATTAACTTCTATCGGATATAGTGTTAGCGAGAAACTTCTGCAGCTTGTAGTCGCAAACCAGTAATACATATATAGCTATGCATAAAATTTTCAGATAGTTTCTGCGAAAAAAAATCTGCGAAGTCAAGATTTTCTATATCCGATATTTCTTTACGGCTGCAATCTCCGAGAACTTTGAATTTTTTTATTTACACATAAAAAAACCCTGGGAAATATTAGTTAGAATACTCCTGACGACACTGGTCCTACTCTTCGAGAAAAAAGACTTTCTCGTTGTTATCTTTAGAAAAGTTCTACGCCGTGGAGTGGCCGCGAGAATTGGTCGTGTTAAAGCCTCAAGTTCTCTGCTCTAACAATTGTTAAAAAAACGCGCTACTGTTTATTTTGCAGGCTCACTCAACATCTTGCTCTAGCTATGTTGTTTGTTTGTTGTTTTGTTTTCTACCATGGAAATACGCCGATTAAGTTTGAGCCAAAGTAGTAAAAAGGGTAAATTTTATGATCCAAAGCTTCATCTTCATGGTCTAAATTTTATAATCCAAAGCTTCATCTTCATGGTCTTAGAATTTGAACAAATAGAGTTGATCGTAGAAATAACATACATTAGGTCGGATTGAATTTTCTCGCGCGTCATTTTCAAAAAATCAGAACTTTCTCGCCATTCGATGGATTTCCTTGAAATTATTTCTATTTGAAAGAGGAATCCATGCTTTCAGCTGTGCCTCCGTCATGGTTAGTTTGAGAAAATTTGAGAGCTAGAAGCAACTGAAGTCAGTCAAGGTTGACAATTCCGAGCTGGGTCACGAGAAATTCTGAAAGTATTTTTATTTGAAAGGAAAAGTTGCGCATTACTATACAGGGTGTCCCAAAAGTAAGTACACACTTTTCAATCGTTAGTAGCTCTCTTCCCATTGTGTCTTTTCCCGCCATCTAAGTACAATTCTGTAGAGAAGGCTTTAACTTAGACATACAGTATCGAGCAAATCACCGATCGCTATTCGCTACTGTAGGATTACGGTAAGAACTTCCAGCATGTGAAACCACTGTGAAATATGCCATCTGACAAAAAAATTTTCCAAAAAATCTGAAAAATCGTGTACTAAGGTTTTTGCGCACGCTGATTCTACCACACAACTTTTTACGAGTGTTTTCGGCTTTTTTTACGGTGTAATCACATTTCTGACAAATACTGGGAATTTGGTTATTACGGTTTACCTGGGATAACTTTGAAAGAACCATCACAATAAACTGGAAATTTCATAATCGAAATCGGCGGCTTCATAGTTTAAGAGTTTGCGGCTTGTTTGGTTTTGTTTTGAGGCAGAATATGACCTCCAATGGCCTAAATCCTTGTCGAAGTTCCCGTTCCTAAAGTAACGAAAAATGATCAATGATTCGCTCGATACCATAAATCTAAGTTGAAGCCTCCTCTACAGATTGGTGCTTGAATGCCGAAAAAAGAGACAATGGGAAGAAAGATATTGACGATTGAAAAGTGTGTACTTACTTTTGGGACACCCTGTAGTACCTTCCCCGCGAAATATGAGATTAATTGAAAGTTAGAAGTCAATGAAGAGAATGACGTAAGTTATTTGAGCTCCTCTTTCTAACTGAGCGAGTTTCGAGCTGATCGATAGCAGTTTTGATTTACTTGCATATCTCGGGTTTTCTGCCTGCATTTTTCACGAAAATCAAATCTGCTCCAGATTGGCAAAAATTTTACACAGCTACAAGGAGGAACTCATAAAACTTATGTTTATGACTATTTCGATCTCTGCTGCGATGTTTGAAGCTTTTTAGAGCATGCTCAAAAATTGCGAAACTGAAGTAATTCTCTTCTTTGGCTTCTAACTTTCGAACCATCATATAGTAATTTGCAGAGAAGTTACTGCAGTAATGCGCAACATTTTCTCTTACAACTAAAGACACTTTCAGAATTTTTTGTGGCCCAGCTCGAAAAATGTTAATCTTGACTAAATTCCTTCAACTGCTTCTAGCTTGCGAATGGTAACATGGCATGAATTCATGGCAGTGGTAACGCTGTAAAGACAATGGTTTCCTCTTTCAAATGAATTTAAAATTAATGAAATCGATTAAGCCGAAATAGAATTGCGATTTTTTGAAAATGGTGCGCAAGAACTTTCGGACCGACCTAATATAAGAGAGAGCATAAAGAGGGATTTCTTATAGTATGCGAAGTTGGTCGTAAGATGCACATATACAGAAGAACGATCCTTTGAAAATGTATCTCCTGCATTAGTTTTCGGACAACCTAATTTTCTTTTAGATTTTGAGGCGAGGAGTAGTAACAGGATCTGCTGAGAATCAGTAACAGCATCCGCAGCAAACTCATCTCTGGTACATGTACGAATTAGTTGCGAGCTTTAAGCAGGGTTTAAGCGTTAGGTGTAGCAAGCTACACCTGAAGGGTCGTACTGAGGAGTCGAGTGTGGGGGTCGAGTAATATCAATGACAGCGATACTAATAACGCGTGATATTCGTGAAAAGTTTGTCAGATAACCCCATTATGCGATAAACAAGCACGTGATTTTGACTTGTTATCGTATACCCACCGTAGCATAAGAAAGAGCCCTGCCATGCACAAAGAGTAATTTATCCGAAACTAGCATGTAAGATCCTGCAGAATCCTGCAGAACAAAGAAGATGAATCAGGCCCTCACTCTTGCCAAAACTACAAGGCTTAGACTATCAAATTATATAAATGCTGTGTTAGCTAAAGATGCTTTTGTGGCATAGTTAATTGGGTGTGGAACAACCCCAAAACGATGTGGCAGCCCCTTTTATGGGGTTGTGCCACACCCATTAATTCACTTTCAAAGAAAATTAGCACATGATATATACAATTCCGATGGCCCAAATCTCGTCGGTCTCAGATGCTCAAAGAAGGAGTAGTGATGAGTTCGAAAAGAGGTGGCTTATTTACTTCTGGAGAAGAGTCAATTATGTTCAAAGGTAAGTCAGGTGGCCATATTCGGAGTTCAGAATTCGCTCAAACTTGGTTTACAAGGATTACATGACATGGTGTTTAGAGATATATCACTTGTTATGTTTGGGGGTCTATGTGTTATGCCTATCTTTGGTATGCAACAGTTCAGCAGTTGGGGGGAGTGAGCGCCTTTTTACTCGACCCATCTAATTTAGGTTGCAAATTGTTACAGTCAATCGGCTACGTAGATTTATGGTATTTGAAAAGACAATGCAAAACAGCAAGTTCAATATTTTTGTCATTTTTTGCGCACGAATAAAGAGTTTTCCCTACCCAAAGGAGTAGAACTTCTGTTGTTAACAATGAAGCCGTCCGTCCCATCCCAAATGGGACAACCGTTGAGGATTTTTCGCCCATATCGCGGTAATTCGAACGCACGCGAGCGTGCCCGCAAAGTCGATTACGGTTATAATGACTCATGCGCGCGAATGTCGAGCCAGACAGCGCGGCGTGTGCGGTATGGAGCATATGCTATGTATGCAGCGTACGCTCCATATCTTTATGCACATGTGCGTGCGCTCTTACGTCACGTACGCCATGTAAGATGCGAAATCTTGCTTAACCCTTAGCCCGCAGCAGGCACGCTCGCAGGCGTTTAGTCGAGGCGATTCCAAGTCAACTATACAAAGAGATATAACGCGCTTCATTGAATCCAGTTCGTCATGTTGGATCTGCGCCATTTTTGGGGATAGAGTGACTGAACATTTGCTCCCCTGGTAAAACGCGTATCTTTGGTTGAATAAACTCACCAAATCCCTCTTCTTCCTTCCATGGATCCCGTTTATAAGAGCCAGCATATTCGCATTCAAGCAGACCATGTTATTGATCGGATTTAGCGGAGTGATAACATTACCTGCACTGAAATATGCGCATATGGTACCACTTGCAGTACTAGTTATGAAGAGCTTGGCAAAATCGATAGGGAGTCCCTTAGAATTTTTATCTTGTGCACTTTCTTACATTTATCATCAATATTGCTTGAATTCCATTGAATTTTATTCAAATTTTATTCACTATTTCCAGCTGTTCCCATTAGAATGTGCTCAATGCTAATCCAACCTTCAAAAGAGTCGCAGGTTTGTGTAAGCAAACTAGTTGCTCTACCCTCTCAACGGTTAGCAGGCCAGAAAATAATTGAAATGATAAGCTGATAAAATAGAATTGTGCTCGGAAGTTTTTTTGTAAATTAGATACTTGTGTTTGACGCTTAGCACTACTGACGGATTTGATAATTATATGTGTCAAAAGTGTGTCAAAACTAGTACTTGATTTTGAGTCTTGGTCCTAATGCTGAAGCATATTTTCCTAAATTAGGTTTCTTCTAGTTTGAACAGCTATAATTTTGAGCGACTTGCACCCTTTTTGAAAAGAGTTGAGCTCAATGGTGATCTTAGTTTCCCTAGAATTTTAGCATCACTTTTTTTGAAATACTTGATACGACAAATCTCCTTTAGTTGAGAAGGTTACATTGACGGCTGCCTCGAATTCGATCCATATTTGAAAGACTCTTCAAAATTACAAGTGTGACAAAACTACCTTTTTGGTTTGATGGAAACATGAAGGGAATTTCTCTGAACTGACAGCTGCACGGTATAACTTCTCAAGCCTTCAGCTTCTATCTTCTTCTTGAACTCTTGCAAATGGGGATTAACCTCTTCCACTATTATTTTCTCAGCCTAAACTGTGAGTAAGCAGGAACAACTGCAATTTTTTGGTGAAGGTTTCTTCTTACATATTTCTCCAGCGCTCTGTCGATTACGCGGGATATCTTCTTGTCGGAGGGCTTAAAAATCTTCAGCAAAATTCCAGAAAGTTTAGTTTTCAAGTTTGTTTTTATTTTAACTTCTGGAATGAAAATGAAATCCCTCCACTTCAGTTTTGCATCAGCATCCAGGTTGCTCGTTATTCTGAATACACAAATCACTCGACAAGATCGTTAAAAGCTTGCTTTACGTACGCCACATTTTTGGTTTTGGAGGTTACGAAAAGTAACCTATATTTTGCTTTTCCGCATACTTCTAGTTGTACTCCTTTTATCTCAAACACATCTGTCCACTCTAAAACAATTGATGGTAGTAATTTTCCTACCTTGATATGCACTCCATCGTTCATGTTCTCAAATGAAACACCAAATTTGGGTACCTTGAACTTTGTGATCTTCATGTTAGAGACTTTCCCCATACGTGCCCAGTTCTGCAAAAACAACTTTGAAAAACGGCACGTAATCCGACGCTTGCGTACCCTTTTACCGAAATCCGGAATTTTTATTGACTTTACTGCATTCTCTATAACCACAGCTTTTGTTTCAAGAAGACTCCAAACTTTAGGAGATATCGTCAAAGACAGGGGCTCATTGACGTCGAATGGTTTCATGTTGTGACAGCTTCAAATAATTATCAGAATATGATATAGTGCATACTGTTATGATTCGAACAAAAAAATTGTTTGAAACACTTATTATGTAGGACACATCAAGTTATGCGTAGTAACTCTCTAAATCGGTTTTTGAAAAAAAAACACGAAGGATCAAACACATGCTCAGTACACAAACTTGCCTCTTATCGAACCCTCCAGTGTACTACAATTGCAAAACCGTATTATATTGATTTTCACTGCTTTCAACGGCATCTTTGCTCTTTCAATTCCCACTTTATATATATTCTATAGAAGCAATGCGAGTAGATTTTCGTCACGATCGTCAAGTATCGGTGACTGGATTGATTACATTGAAGGCAGCGTCCCGGCAAAACGGTAGTCAAAGATTTTGAAACGATGCTGTAACAGCTTCCCCAAACAATCTAACAGTGAGGACTGGAGCGAAAAAATACATCTGGAAAACCTGAAATTTGGTTTTGGAGTCTAACACGCCCCGCCTCTTCGTTCCGGACCTCGCCCACTTGCACATATTTTTCAGCGAGTGCAAATATGGAGAGCTTCGAAGAAAGCTCATTTTCGGCATTTTCTTGCGCTGCAAAGCCCATACATGGGATAAGTATGGCGAGAAAGCTCCGAAAATAAAAACCGAAAAGCGAGATTTCGCCGGGACACTGCCTTCATTCCCCGTTCTATGCCGTTGTTAGCGAATAATAAAATAGATGACTGTAGGGTATAACTTTGCTTTTTGACTTACGTCCTTTTCGTTGTCCGCAAAATCCAACATTTGTTAAGAGCGAAGCGCTCAAACATACTACTTCTTAAGACTACACCCTAACCAAATCCAATTCCCCTCTCTCTCAAGTCTAAGGCATACTTCTCGCAATTCCGTACATCGCTAAATCCACGCGACTTGGCTATTTCCCAGACCTCTACAGATTAAGCGTGCGCGAGTCTCAAGTGCATAGACACATAGCTTTTGTAAGTATGCAAACGCATAAAGTTTGGCCCAAAAGGGGCGCTTACAACCAATCGTGAAGAGTCATCGCAGTCCAGATTGCTCAGCGATTGGAATCGCGTGAGGTATGCCTTAGGCCTAAGCGTTTGGAAAAATCACAATCTTTTTTTTCAACAAGAATTTGCACTTTTCAGTTTGATAAAACTCTGAACATCGTTCAAGTATTCAAGTCGTTCTTAACGACGTCAAAAAAGCACAATTTCGAGCATGAATAACATCTCTTAGTTGCATTCAGCCTCAAAAACATCTGATCATTCTTTGACCAGTTGGCAGAAATTTTGCGAAAAGAAAGCTCATAACTTATTTTACACAATCATCTGGCTTAACGGAAGCAGATTTAAAATCGGCGTATTGAGCGCATATAATGATGTGTGTATCTCAGAATAGCCAAAGTCACCAAGTGTCCTACCCTTGTCAGATATTCAAGCAGACACTGAAAAGCTCAAAAAGTTACTTGAGTACTTTCAAAAATTGCTGTGCGAATCTAGGAAATTCAAGGTTTGTTTGACTTGTCTTTCGCATCGCTCACAGGTCTGTGAGAGGAATCGCAAGATAATATCGGAATAATAAGCGGATCGTTTGCGTTACCGTAAGGAATCGCAAGATGATTTGGAATAATAAGCGGATCGTTTACGTTATCTTCCGGTTATCGATCATCAAAACGAAAAGCTATCAAATTTCAAAAAATTGAAGTGCTTCCATCAGTTTTGCATTACCAAAAACAGTGAGCACAAAAATGATCTGCAAAGAATTTTATGTTAACTTTTTGTGGAACTTCATGATATTTCGAAGCTGACCCGAATCTAAGCTATTCGCTTTGTGGTTCACGATTAGTTATGTAAGACTACTCCACATGCCTTCTCGCAAATATCAAACTTTTCCCGATTGTCCTGCCATATCATTTTTTTAATGTACACAGCTGCTCAGACTGTACTTATTTTTATCGTTGCATCCTTCTATTCACACGAGGTCTGACACTGTTCGATGTTTGGTTCTCGTCTATACCAAATTCTGCATGAAGATAGTCTATTAGCACGTTGACGACAACGTGACCCACAGTGTGGGGTATGCAATGACTGTGGTTTCAGAAGTTCTGTTTGCTCTATTCCCAGAAATTACTTCCGCTTTTCTTGGCTGCTTCTCAAAATCACTGTAGGGATACTGCAGATGACGGCCTGCTTGATTTTAGCTAAGAATACTCGATTTAGATTAGAAGGCATTGTGCCACAAGGCAGATAGCTAAAAATGCACGCTGTCGTCAACGTGTTGGCTTTGTCTTCGAGCCTGTTCATGACGCCGATTTTGGACTCCGAATGCGTAAATTTCAAAAAATTTCTTCATGAGGCTATTTTCAAAAGCTTTAGACGAACGGGCGCCAAAGGCCTTAGGCTTGTAGCTTGCAAGTACAAACAAGTTTAAAACAGTAACTTTCTTGCTTTTTAACCTGGGCTTATTTTCTACACTAAATCCAAAAGCTTATTACTTCAGAAAGCACGAAAATGTAAAAGGACTTCGTTTTTAACCAGAACGAGTATGGCAGTTCTTTTAGGGTTGAAAGAGCCGCTGCAGGACGCCACGATTTTGAAGTGGCGGCGAGCACGTGTAATATGGCGTAAAAGCTATAACCCCACATGGCACTAAGATCCACACCCCAATCTTGACCTTGCACGGATTTAAAACAAGTTAAAGCGATTGTCCGTGTTATGTGGAAACTCCTCAAAAGCTGAAGGAGGCTGGCAGCACACAGAGAAAACTGCGCATTGCATGGCTCCAGTAATTTGAACGTCATTTTCCTCTCTTTGGAAGCAGTATGTGAAGGTCGTTCTGTGCATTATTTGCAAAGTTTATCGTTAGTAGCTAAAAATGTCCAAATTTGCCATCTGAGCCGGATGTATCAGTTTTTACTACCAACCATGGTATCTCCGAACGATAGAATTGCGAGGCTTTGTATGCTCTGCAACACATTACGCAACTGTTTTTCAAAGGAAAACTTGAGAGCTGTATACAATGCAAATTTGCCTTAACCAAACCCTCGATACTCAGAGCTATGTGCTCTGATAAACCAAGATCTATTCTACAAGCATTCAAAAGAAGACTGCGTTTTCCCGCTGACCATAACCTTTTCGGTGCTCGAAACAAATTTTTTTCTAATTTTACAATGTTAGACCACAAACTAAATACTGCGCTTAACCATGCAAAGAGAGTCACGCACAAAATTGCTTGTCCATCTTAATAAAAAGTGGTTTGATTGTTTGTTACCTGACTTGCATCGAAATCAAATTCCAGAAAAGTAGCGAAGCTGCAATAAACGATTATGAACGTTACCCAATCATGGTGCCTTGGGAAGGTGGAGATATCTAGTTCGAAAAATTGGATGTGGAAGAAAAATTGAGTTAAGGCAGGTAATTTTTTTAGTTTAGAATGTAATCAAATTCTGAAACTCACGTTACAGTGGCAAGTGCGAAAAGAACCAAAATGGAGTAGACAGTCATTTTGCTTGCACTGAGCTGCTGTTGACTCTGAACACTAGTGTTACTTCTATGCAGGGACGTATCTATATATGACATGTTAAGCCGTCATAAAGAAAACATTTCGAACGCTTACGATAGCGACAAGCCGTCTATTGCTCGTCTTTCCAATTTTATGTGATTATTAATGCTGTATGTGCAACAACCATCGGTGCATTGCTCGAACCAAATATGCAGAAATAACCTCCATTAATGCATGCTGGCATTTTGGTATTTAACGATAGTGCGAAATATAGAAGTACTAGTTGACTTACCCGGCTCCGCCCGGCCCTGTCATTATTATATTCGTAATCAGCATGTTAGATTACCCCCTGCGCCAACTCCCAGCCCCGTAGCTCAAATTTTGCAAAAAAATCGGTAAAATCGATATCGATCGATGACGAAGAGTAGCCCATGACACCCGCCGGGGCTCGAAGTGCATGTGCGCCAAGTTTGGTCTGGATCGGTTCAGAAATGGAATTTTCTATTCGGAACATACGTACAGACAGACATACAGACATACAGACAAACAGACATTCAGCTTTATACAGGGTGTCCCAAAAAGATGTGCACACTGTTTGATTTTGAATAACTCTCTTATTATGAGGTCTTTCAAGAAGCGGTAGGCGCCATTTTGTAGGGCTGGCTTCAACTTAGATTTGCAGTATGGAGAGAGTCACCGACCACTCTTCGTTACTGTAGGATTACGGTAGAAACTTGAAAGAGGGTTTTGACCAGGAAAGGCCATATTTTGCCTCAGAAAGGAGTCAGAACAGCCTGAAAACTTTTACACTAGGCCAATTAGAGTTGCTGATTCTAACTGTAAAGTTCCCAACCTATTTTGATGTTTCACTGAAGAGTTATGCGAGGTAAGCAGTAACGGCCATTTTCTCAATGTTCCTAAAAAGTGCGGTTACACCGTTTAGAAAGTTTCGCAATCTTGAGAATAGTTGAGTATTGAAGTCAGCGTCCCTAAAAACCCTATTACACAAGTTTTCACATCTTTTTGAAAATTTTTGAAACGGCGGCTTTTTCCACATTGACACCATATGTTCCAAGTTTCTACCGTATTCCTACAGTAACGAAGAGCGGTCGGTGATTCGCTCTACACTGTAAGTCTAAGTTGAAGCCAGCTCTACAAAATTGCGTTTACCGCTTCTCGAAATACCTCATAATAAGAGAGTTATTCAAAATCAAACAGTGTGCACATCTTTTTGGGACACCCTGTATATAAGATTTCATTTGGTATACATGCTATTTAGTCCTATATGTGTTGAGAACGGATATCATCTATCTTTAACTAATTTGATTGCATAGCTAATTCAGAAACTTATTGTTCACCAGTGCGTCACCTCTGCTTCGCAGAAGCTCGCACTGGTCCCACTGTCTGTATGCCTTACTCATTCAGCAATAATGACACTGAAACTCACCGTGCAGTGCCGACTATCGTAAATGAACTGTAAACAACTACTCATTCCGAAAGCTTTTTCATCTGAAATTGGTGATTTCGCGTGGATGAAACTTTTTGCAGAAGAACGAACGCAAATTTAAATAGCTTTTTGAATTCCATGGTTTCGGTAGTCGCCTATGAACAATAATCATCGTAAGCTACATTTTTGTGCAAAAATCTCGTCAAATGCTCTGGTAAAACCTTGTTAAATTGACCATTTATGCAATCAATTCTTTTTGGCGCCTTTTTTTGCAAAGAGAGGATTTTTGATTACTTTCTTGGGCCTATATTCATGGTTTGCAAATTTACTTGCCATACACATTCGCGACTCTACAAAAGGGGGATTACGGACTCAATTTTGAGGGCAGAAGCAAAGTGGATCCGTTTGACGCGCAATTTTTGAGCGATCCTCACAACGAATCTGCTCGTGCTATTGCATGTTGGACTTTCGCGCCAGTAGCATGCGCTATGCGAAAGGTTGAGCTCAGGACGTTGGCCGGAATCTGCTCTACGAATTTCGTAACAGACACACTCACACACACATACGCACGAAAACACGTAAACATCCCTATCCCATTATTATAAGTTACTAGTTGGCTTTCCCGGTCCAGCCCGGGCCTTGTTCCGTTCACTTGCACTGCAAGCCCCCACCTTATATGTTATGGATGACTTACCCTAGGGACATCCTCTTCAAACCGCATCCTCGTGATAATGAGGTTAAAATGAGCTTCACCGCCCTCCTTTACAGATTACTAGCTGGCTTACCCGGCTCCGCCGTATCCGGACCAAACTTGGCACACATACACTTCGGGCCCCGGCGGGTGTCACAGTCCACTTTTCGTTATCGATCGATGTCGATTTTACCGATTTTTTTGCAGAGTTCACCTACAGGGCTAGGAGTTGGCACAGGGGGGGGGGGGGGAAGTGAGCATGGGGATTCCGAATACAATATTAGTTTTCAGAATTATCGATTATTTTTATTGATTTTATCGATTTTTTTGTAAAGTTTGACCTGCGGGGCTGAGAGTTTGCACAGGGGGGTAATCGAGCATGCAAATTACGAATACAATATTAGTTTTCAAGATCGTCCATTACTTTTATCGATTTTATCGATTTTTTGAAAATTTGAGCTAGGGGGCTGGAATTTGGCACAGGGGTGTAATCGAGCATGCTGATCATCCCCCTTGGGAGTGATCAGCATGCTCGATTACCCCCCTGTGCCAACTCCCAGCCCCCTAGCTCAAACTTCGCAAAAAAATCGATAAAATCGATAAAAGTAATCGATAATCCTGAAAACCAATATTGTATTCGGAATCCCCATGCTCGATTACCCCCCTGTACGAACTCCCAGCCCCGTAGCTCAAACTTTGCAAAAAAATCGATAAAAATCGATATCGATCGATGACGAAATGTAGCCTATGACACCCGCCGGGGCCCGTAGTGTATGTGTGCCAAGTTTGGTCCGGATCGGTTCAGAAATGGAATTTTCTATTCGGAACATACGTACAGACATACAGACAGACAGACAGACAGACAGACAAACAGACATTCAGCTTTATATATAAGATGGGAAAATGCTTGACTGAACATGATAAGCCTTCAATTCCTTAGAAAAACGTAAACAAATCAATAAATCGATAGAAGGACCAAATGAATCGCCGCAAAAAGTAGCCTATCATCTGCGCAGGGGTCGAAAACATATGTGTGCAAAGTTTCAGCTGAATTGGTTAAGCGGCGCGCATTTCTATAACGCACATACCCTCCAAACTAACAATTTTTGAGTTTTATATATATATATAGATGATACCAGTGCATCACCTTCGCTTCGCAGAGGTTCGCAGGCTCTCCTATCCATATGCCGTTTTCATGCTCGCATAATAATGACTTTGAAACTCACCAAGCGATGCTCTGCATCACAAATGAATCCTAAACAACTGTTCATTCTTGAAGCATCTCCACGTAGGATCGGTAATTTTGGAAGGAAAATCATTTTTGCAAAGGAACAAATGCGAATTTGAATGGATTAATCAATTTGTTTTGGCTTGGTAGTCCTCTTAAGGATAGTAGTCACTTTGGGCTACAATTCCGCGCAAAAATCTTTCCAAATTTTAAAAAGTAAAACCTTGCCAAATCGACTACCTACGCGATCACACTTTTTGGCGCTGTTTTCGCAGAAAAACAAACTTTTTAAGCACGTTTTGGGCTAGAATTCATAGATTGCAGGTTTACTCTACACTTAGCATTTAGACGGTAGATGCTAACTTACCATCACTATGACAAAGTTCAGAATTTTCGTAACCGAAAGCTCAGTTATTATAGGTCATGCAGCAACTTCGTCATGCAGCAACTTTTAGTTAAAAACAAAATACCCTAAAATTAAAGTGGTTCAAACGGGTAAAATCTTTATTTGATGCCACAGTTTGGACGGAGGGCGTGCTGGAGTTCCTAACACTTTTCCTCGCGTCATAGTTAGCACAGCACCTCAACAAAAAAGGCTCCAGCACCTCCTTTCCTCAAAGTCCACTCTTCCGTTGCTCTACCTATTGATCATCCTCATTGTGCAGTATATAATGGCATGACTAGTGATTTAGAAGTGTCAAGGAAAGAACAAAAAAGATTGAGATGTAGCGCAAGAAAGGTAAAGAGAACATCACGATGCGGTCCCAACTCATCCTCTTCACTAAGCTTATTATTTTGATCCAAATACCGTCATATAAAACTGAAAAAGTTATCAAGTCTTCAGCAGCATTCAATGCTCTAAGAATTTTCCGTAAACGTCCTTGTCAATCTAAGTACGTACAGCATATTTTTCTTCTATCTCAAGCACACTATGAGATTAAGAAGATTCGGATTATAAAGAAGGGACTTTCTTAATTCAGCAATGATACTGCATATACTCGTAAGTGAAAACTGGAGAATAGTTGCAGCTTTTCGAACTAACGTTATCGCATAACTAGATCTGGAATTATCTTGCAAATCAATGTTGATTCCTCAAAATCATTGTATTCGAATGTTTGTATGCTGCTTGGAATGAGAAATTGACCCTCCCACTTTAAACAACATTTTCAACAGCTCAGCGCTTTCAAGTAAGATTTGGGCACTTGGACATTTTTAGAAATGGTTTTACGAAAAAAAAACCTCCTATTTTACCTCAGAACTAGGAGTCAACTCTGAGTGTCGGTTTCGGACTACAGCGGCTTTCAACTTCCCGAATAACTGTATGTACAGGATTCTAGAAAATTTTCAAATTTTCGACTTTTCAATTTCTGACGTCAAAACATTAGAACGGGTCGCCTTTACTCAAAAACTGCCATTCCATCCAAGATTGGAATACTTCACAAGATATTATGAATTCGGACTTGGACAAAAACGTTTTAATATGCTCTAATGTGATTAAATAGCCGGTGTGATGTACGATTTGGTTACGCTTAAAAATAACATTCAGTTCCCAATACTTCTGGATAACTAAATCCGAAAGGACGAAAACCGAGGCTTTGTGTACTCGATACATTTATCTTATATTCCGAGCTTCTTA